ACCTTTCGCGGATCTTTCGCGGATTGTCAGGTACGTGTGCCTCAGAAAGACTTGCAACCCTTTCATCTTTGAGCATGCCTGGAAGCATGCCTGCAGACAGCAAGAAGAGAAATATTCTTGAAAGTAAGTAAAGGAACTATAGCTTACGATACTGCTTTTGCGAAANNTTCCTTTCGCGAGCACCATCGCGACCTGTCGCGGAAGGTCTTTTGAGCCAGCCGTGGTCGTTTTGTATAAAATTCCACATGGGGTTTTCGGGCGATGCCCATATAAGGATGATGGAAGAGAAAATGGACTGGCAACTATGGTAGAAAAAAGGCCTATATTGGGTTTATTAATGTAGGGGTTATTTGGGGATATATACCCCAATAATGGAGGATCGAATGAAAAGAGCATGGAAAACAACATGGAAACCAGGATGTAATAGGGATTTTAAAGGGGTTGCGATTAGTGTGCTGTCAGCAGTCTACAGGCGTGACGCTTTGCATTTCAAACTTGCAACTCCCGGGGCGAGCGTTGGGGAAGTGAATTGCTGGGCTGGAATTACAATGTGTCTCACAAGCACAGCATGCAGCCAAAGACACTGTCAGAGTGCTGTAAGCGATATCACCTGCCCGGGCTGAACTAGGGTAGTATATTATAGTATTATATCATATTATAGTATATTATGGTATAGTATATTATATTATAGTATTTTGTTGCTTGTTGCCAAGCTTGTCAAGTCAGCAGCTACCCTTGCAGAATACACTGAACATGCTCATTCACTGCTAGGGCGGTTCCCACTTTGGATTTGAGTTTTGAATGCAACTCTGATGCGCAGCCATCCAGCCTTTGCTCATAGGTATCCTAGTGATCTTCCCGCAAAGGGACATTAGATCCTTCGCGCAAGGCAGAGTGTTGATTGGCTGGGTTGATGCCTGAGGGCAACGAGCAAAAGCCGCCGTCCTGCTTGGGCAATTCGCTGAATGTTTCCGGACGCTGATCTGGCTTTTGCTCGCCAATTTGCACCTGAGCTCCACAGCCACGCACCTGAGTGCCTGATGCTTATTATTCGTATTATCATTAGCATTACTATTCCCATTAGTATTCTTGTCACAACTATTAGTATTCTCGGAGAGGAAAGGGCCACCCGTAGGCGAGTCCAGTGTCCGTTTATAAACACATAGATATATGCAATATGTGTAGCAGTGTCTTTGCAGGAGATCCCTTGTAGACCTCCCAGGGTTGTACGGGGAAACTGCTTGCACCGAGGATGGTGCTTGTGCAGATCCCTTTCTACTCCGCGCAGGACTTTGCTTCAGGGTCAGATTGTGGTGCAATTAAAAGAAGCCTGTTGCCCAGAGAACTCTCCTCTTGCAGCAGGTAGGGCAACTTGGTTTCCCTGATTTCCGACGTATGTATACAGCTTACAGCTTTTCCAGGTTCGTGCAGCAGGGCAATCCAGCGAGGCGCTGGAGACCAAATCAGGAATTCGTCAAGCGTGCCCTCTTTCCCCATGCCCTTTCCTCATTATTCAACCAGCAACTCCGCGAGCAATCCTCACAGCCACCCCTCACACACCACATCCACAGGGCACAACTCAAGTTGTTTGGTCATGTTTTGAGAGCACCGGAGAACTGTTTGGAGAGGAACTGTTGTTTCACGAAGTCTTTTCTTTATAGGGGAGGCGTGGTTGGATCAGGGATTAGGAGAAGACGCTCCAGGACTCCAGAATACACTGAGCGGCACAGTGTGCCTTACAAGCGTGGGCCTGGCCTTACAAGCGTGGCACTGGCTTCAAGACCTCCCTAACCCCCCAGCACAGAGACACCCGCAATTCGCCTTTGCATCTGTTCAGCTTCACAGGTTGGCTGTCCACCGGCAATTTTGGAGTCGGCTAGTGGGGCTGCCGACGCGCAGGAAGTACCTCAAGCAAACCTGTTGTATTGCGTTTTCCCAGTGAGCTCACAGCAAGTTCACAGCAAGACCACAGTAAAGCTTGGAGTATGGATGCATAAGGTTGCTGCACAAAAATGATTACTGCTGTTATCATTTTTGCTTGTAGTACTATTGTTATTCATAATACTATTATTATTACCACTATTATTATCCCTATTCTTACTCTTTTTTATTACTATTACCATGACAGTCTCATTGGCAATCCGGGATGCGCTCAAAGCGTGCCCTGGAGGTTGCGGCTTCGACTTCGCGGTTGCCTGCAACCTGGGCTGCCGTGGCATGGTCATCAGACAGTTGAGAATGACAACAGCATTGGGTGTGGGGTTTTAGGGTTTAGGGTTTTGCCGTTGCTCCTGGGCTCTAAACCTTAAACCCTATAAGGGTTAAGGGTACAAGAAAGGTTGACCAAATGGGCCCCTAGGCTTGCAGACAACACAGCACGGCCTTCTGCATCGAAGTCACAGAGCTGAGGCCTCCTCGTCAGTGAAGCCACTCATTGGGTCTCGTGCCCCAGCGTCCGGATCACCAGCGTCTTTTGGACTCTCTGGAGGCAAGGCTTCCCTGCCACAACTTCAGCGGTCATTTTGTTTTACTTACTTGCTGACCTACTTGGGGGTCATAATAGCAAACATGGGAATATGCTATATTGGGATTATAGAGGGATTATCTTCCCCTATTCCCTACTAATTACTCAGAACCAGTAAGTGACTTACTCATTTCCTTTCTGGCTGAGTTGCTGCCACAGCTAGGTAATTGTGGTTAGCAGCGTTTATCTATGTAAGTTGAGCAGCAAGAGGCGAATCAACTACAGGCCAAGAAGCCTAGCGTGCAACAGACTAAATTGCAGACCGCGCTATTGGCCAGACGTGCATCTACAGTTCAATGCTTGCCGGTCACCCCGTCAATTCACAGGTTTCAGGTAATCTAATGACCCAATCACGAGCAGTGAAAGCCCCTTGATAATCATTTTGTTTTCCATGTTCTTTTCCATCATTGGACCGTCTATCCCGATGATGTTTCTATATCCCAAACAAATCTGCAGCTGCTATGATGGCAAGGCCCTGCAAGGCCCTGGCTGGTCCAACTCGCTCATCTCCTAAAAGCAGCGTGGCACAACTCCGCAGACATCGGGCCAGCTGTGAACTTATCAGCCCTAAGCCCCATGCCTGAAACGATATAGTTGCCTCCATTTTCTCTTCTATTTCCCTATTTATCTCCTATATGCTACAGTAGTTTCCATTTTCTCTTCCATTATCCCAATATAACCCCAATATAGCCCTATATGACCCCCATATATCATATATCCCAAAAGAATCCGTTTGAAGTGACCGTTTAATATCAGGTCAAGAAGAGGGTATTTTCAGTATTGATGTTACTATTAGGATCATCACTACGATTATTATTGCAAGTCTTTTTGCTGTTCTTATTATAACTAGTATTGTTCTTGGCCCCGTCGGCCTGTAAACGCGCAAAAATCGCATCCTCGCCCGAGCCCGTGTTTGCTGGCCCTCGCAGTATTTCGCGCATCTTCGAAGGCTTGGAAGCACGCAAAGCGCTGGTGACGTTAGCATTTCTGATTTTCCGGAAAATGTACGGACAGCGCAATCGCGCTGGAGTCACTTTTGCTGACCTTCGCAGTGTTTCGAACACTTTTACATCTTGCGACCTGCACGAAATTCTGCCATTGCCAGCATTTCTGTGACCTAACCATCCATGCGTGACCAGAAATGAGTGCGATTACCAGAGCATCCATGCCCAAACCATAATTCCGTTCATCCTTTAATGAGTGCGATTACCAGAGCATCCATGCCCCAACCGTAATTGCATTCGGTTTCCATGAGCATACGGTTGCCAGAGCATCCATGCTCCAAACCCTCATTCCGTTCATCTTTTCATGAGTGCGATTACCAGAGCATCCATGCCAAATGCATAATTGCGTGCGTTTTCTATCAGCATACGGTTGCCAGAGCATCCATGCCCAGACCATAATTTCGTTCATCTTTTAATTCTAATGAGTGCGATTACCAGAGCATCCATGCCCAAACCAGAATTCCCTCTCTCTCATAGTCCCATTCATCTGTTAATGAGTGCGATTACCAAGCATCCATGCCCAAACGCCCAAACCATAATTCCGTTCATCTTTTAATTTTAATGAGTGCGATTACCAGAGCATCCATGTCCAAACCATAAGTCCCTCTCTCTCATAATTCCGTTCACCTGTTAATAATGAGTGCGACTACCAGAGCATGAATGCCCAAATGCCCAAACCATAATTACGTTCATCTTTTAAGTTTAATGAATGCGATTGCGGGAGCATCCATGCCCAAACCATAATTGCGTTCGTGTTCCATAAGCATACGGTTACCAGAAGCCGGGCCTCTTGGAGCTTCTGAAGTGCTTCCGAATGTACAGGGAGGCGCGTCAGCACGAGCTTGCCTACAGCCCAGCAGATCTCCTCAATCCTGTCAAAGACAGAGATTTGCTTTTTGCCTAGAGTTTAGAAATTCCGTCCGCAAC